CTGGTAGTTGAAGTGCATGGTGATGATGATGATGATGGAGAGACCAGTGGTGCTGGTAGTTGAAGTGCATGGTGATGATGATGATGGTGGTGGTGATGAGAGACCAGTGGTGCTGGTAGTTGAAGTGCATGGTGATGATGATGATGGTGGTGGTGATGAGAGACCAGTGGTGCTGGTAGTTGAAGTGCATGGCCTTCTTCAGGAAGTCCAGCCTGGACTGGTCATCGGCGGAGCCCGGCTCATACACTTTGGGCTCGCACAGAACGGCACACGTGGTCTCCTCCTTGAACGTCACCTGCACACACACACAGGCAAAGGTCCCCCATGTAGCCTCTAACAGCCTGTACGGGCAAGTGCTGTGAGTAGCGAGCAGCACCTATAGACACACAGACAAAGGTCCCCCGTGTAGCTTCTAACAGGCTGCAGGGGCAAGTGCTGTTAGTAGCGAGTAGCAGCAGCACCTATACACAGACAAAGGTCCCCCGTGTAACCTCTAACAGACTGTAGGGGCAAGTGCTGTTAGTAGCGAGTAGCACCTATAGACACAGTCAAAGGTCCCCCGTGTAGTTTCTAACAGGCTGCAGGGGCAAGTGCTGTGAGTAGCGAGTAGCAGCACCTATGCACTACACAGTTGGGATATTCCAAATGAAATATAACCAGTCTGTCAACAAATGTATGACGATGTACATCAAATATACATACAGAAATAATACACTCACTTTATGTCTTATGGCTCTTATACCTATACACAGACAAAGATCCCCCGTGTAGCCTCTAACAGGCTGTAGGGGCAAGTGCTGTTAATAGCGAGTAGCAGCAGCACCTACACACAGACAAAGATCCCCCGTGTAGCCTCTAACAGGCTGTAGGGGCAAGTGCTGTTAGTAGCGAGTAGCACCTATAGACACACAGACAAAGGTCCCCCATGTAGCTTCTAACAGGCTACAGGGGCAAGTGCTGTGAGTAGCGAGCAGCACCTATAAACACACAGACAAAAATCCCCCGTGTAGCCTCTAACAGGCTGTAGGGGCAAGTGCTGTTAGTAGCGAGTAGCAGCAGCACCTATACACAGACAAAGATCCCCCGTGTAGCCTCTAACAGGCTAGGCCCAATGTTCCACTGTAAGCAGTTCCTTCTCCAGTGTTGCTTTGAGTTTCTGCATGCACTGCTTGAGAAGTATCTCCTGCCTCTCTGGGGTTACGTTCAGCCTGACTGACTGTAGCTGGATACTCTTTCATTTGACTCCTCAAACGCAGCAGAATCACTTTCAGTTGGAAAAACCATGCCATTGCTCTCTTCAGATGATGCCAACTTGAGTAGTGATTGACAAGTCTGTTCACTGGATTAGAGTTCTCTTTGATACGGAGGAGACTGACTGTAACCGACTTCTTGATCTCATCATCATCTGAGTTTTGACTCGTTTGAATTGGTCGTTCTGTCCATTCACTGGGAGCCATCCACAGGAATTTGGGTTCCTGAATCCATTTTTCACTTTTTATGAAGTTATCAGCTTTCAGACCTCTTGAAGCATGTTCTGCTGGGTTTAACCAGGGGGGGGTTTCTACACAGTTGGGATATTCCAAATGAAATATAACCAGTCCGTCAACAAATGTATGACGATGTACATCAAATATACATACAGAAATAATACACTCACTTTATGTCTTATGGCTCTTACACCTATACACAAAGATCCCCCGTGAAGCCTCTAACAGGCTGTAGGGGCAAGTGCTGTTAGTAGCGAGCAGCACCTATATACAGACAAAGATCCCCCGTGTAGCCTCTAACAGCCTGTAGGGGCAAGTGCTGTTAGTAGCGAGTAGCAGCAGCATCTATACACAAAGATCCCCCGTGTAGCCTCTAACAGGCTGTAGGGGCAAGTGCTGTTAGTAGCGAGTAGCAGCAGCACCTATACACAAAGATCCCCCGTGTAGCTTCTAACAGGTTGTAGGGGCAAGTGCTGTTAGTAGCGAGTAGCAGCACCTATACACAGACAAAGATCCCCCGTGTGGCCTCTGACAGACTGGGAGGCCCAGGACTGGTTCAGATAATCGTCACAGGCGGTGTTGGCCTTGAGTGGGAATCGAACTTGAGTCGCCAGGTTCATAGCGCAGCGTAGCGCTAACCGCTACACTACCGCTCCCAGAGTCACACACACAGTCTCACAAACACAAAGACACACACAGCGACATACACACAGATACACACATAGTCTCACAAACACAGAGACACACACACAGACACACACACAATGACACAGTGACACACACACAGATACACACACACAGTGACACACACAGTGACACACACAGTGACACACACAGTGACACACACAGTGTACACACACACAGTGACACACGCACACAGTGACACACACACACAGTGACACACACAGTGACACACACACGGTGACACAGTGACACATACAGATACACACACACACAGTGACACATACAGATACACACACACACAGTGACACACAGTGACACACAGTGACACACACATAGTGACACACACACAGTGACACACACACACACAGTGACACGCACACAGTGACACACACAGTGACACACACACAGTGACACACACACAGTGACACACACACAGATACACACACACAGTGACACAAACAGTGACACACACACAGTGACACAGTGACACACACACAGATACACACACACAGGGACACACACAGTGACACACAGTGACACACGCACACAGTGATACACACACACAGTGACACACACACAGTGACACAGTGACACACAGTGACACACACAGTGACACACAGTGACACACACAGTGACACAGTGACACACACAGTGACACACACACACAGTGACACACACAGTGACACAGTGACACACACACACACAGTGACACACACAGTGACACAGTGACACACACACAGTGACACACACAGTGACACACACACAATGACACACACACACAGTGACACACACACACAGTGACACACACAGTGACACAGTGACACACACACACAGTGACACACACACACACAGTGACACACACAGTGACACACACGGTGACACAGTGACACATACAGATACACACACACACAGTGACACACAGTGACACACAGTGACACACACATAGTGACACACACACAGTGACACACGCACACAGTGACACGCACACAGTGACACACACAGTGACACACACACAGTGACACACACACAGTGACACACACACAGATACACACACACAGTGACACAAACAGTGACACACACACAGTGACACAGTGACACACAAACAGATACACACACACAGGGACACACACAGTGACACACAGTGACACACGCACACAGTGATACACACACACAGTGACACACACACAGTGACACAGTGACACACAGTGACACACACAGTGACACACAGTGACACACACAGTGACACAGTGACACACACAGTGACACAGTGACACACACACACAGTGACACACACAGTGACACAGTGACACACAAAGATAAAGACAAAGATCCCCCATATAGCCTTAACAGACTGTAGGGGCAAGTGCTGTTAGCGAGCACCTATGAAGGCCGGAACGGTACACGAGGGGGTGGGTGGCCAGCACCACGCCCGACCGCCTTTGTCTCCCTAGTGGCAATGTTTACACACCGCACCAGGTACTCATTTGAGGCTGAGTCGACCTAGGGGAGGCCCGGGACCGGTTCAGATAATCGTCACTGGTGTTGGCCGTGAGCGGGAATCGAACCCGGGTCGCCAGGTTCATAGCGCAGCGCGCTAACCGCTACACTATCGCTCCCCACACAGTGACACAGTGACACACACACACACAGTGACACACACAGTGACACAGTGACACACACACAGTGACACACACACAGTGACACACACACAATGACACACACACACAGTGACACACACACACAGTGACACACACACACAGTGACACACACAGTGACACAGTGACACACACAGTGACACACACACACACAGTGACACACACACAGTGACACACACAGTGACACACACACAGTGACACAGTGACACACACACAGTGACACACACACACAGTGACACACACACACAGTGACACACACACACAGTGACACACACACACAGTGACACACACACACAGTGACACACACAGTGACACACAATGACACACACACACAGTGACACACACACAGTGAAACACACAGTGACACAGTGACACACACACAGTGACACACACAGTGACACAGTGACACACACACAGTGACACACACAGTGACACAGTGACACACACAGTGACACAATGACACACACACACACACAGTGACACACACACACACAGTGAAACACACAGTGACACACACACAGTGACACACACAGTGACACACACAGTGACACAGTGACACACACAGTGACACACACAGTGACACAGTGACACACACAGTGACACACACAGTGACACACACAGTAACACACACAGTAACACACACAGTGACACACACAGTGACACAGTGACACACACACAGTGACACACACACAGTGACACACACACAGTGACACACACACAGTGACACAGTGACACACACACACACAGTGACACACACATAGTGACACACACACAGTGACACAGTGACACACACACAGTGACACAGTGACACACACACAGTGACACACACACACACACTGACACAGTGACACAGTGACACAAAACAAAGATAAAACAAAGATCCCCCGTATAGCCTTAACAGACTGTAGGGGCAAGTGCTGTTAGCGAGCACCTATGAAGGCCGGAACGGTACACGAGGGGGTGGGTGGCCAGCACCACGCCCGACCGCCTTTGTCTCCCTAGTGGCAATGTTTACACACCGCACCAGGTACTCATTTGAGGCTGAGTCGACCTAGGGGAGGCCCGGGACCGGTTCAGATAATCGTCACTGGTGTTGGCCGTGAGCGGGAATCGAACCCGGGTCGCCAGGTTCATAGCGCAGCATGCTAACCGCTACACTATCGCTCCCCACACACACAGTGACACACACACACAGTGACACACACAGTGACACACACAGTGACACACACAGTGACACACACACACACAGTGACACACACACACACACAGTGACACACACACACAGTGACACACACACAGTGACACACACACACAGTGACACACACACAGTGACACACACACAGTGACACACACACACAGTGACACACACAGTGACACACACACAGTGACACACACACAGTGACACACACACACAGTGACACACACACACACACTGACACAGTGACACTGACACAGTGACACACACAGTGACACACAGTGACACACACAGTGACACACGCACACAGTGACACGCACACAGTGACACGCACACAGTGACACACACACAGTGACACACACAGTGACACACACACAGATACACACACAGTGACACACACAGTGACACACACACAGTGACACAGTGACACACACACAGATACACACACACAGGGACACACACAGTGACACACAGTGACACACAGTGACACACACAGATACACACACAGGGACACACACAGTGACACACAGTGACACACACAGTGTACACACACACACAGTGACACACGCACAAAGTGACACACGCACACAGTGGCACACACACAGTGACACACAGTGACACACGCACACAGTGATACACACACACAGTGATACACACACACAGTGACACACACACAGGGACACAGTGACACACAGTGATACACACAGTGACACAGTGACACACACACAGTGACACACACAGTGACACAGTGACACACACACACAGTGACACACACAGTGACACAGTGACACACACAGTGACACACACAGTGACACAGTGACACACACACACAGTGACACACACACAGTGACACACACACAGTGACACACACACAATGACACACACACACAGTGACACACACACAGTGACACACACAGTGACACAGTGACACACACAGTGACACAGTGACACACACACAGTGACACACACACACAGTGACACACAGACACAGTGACACAGTGACACACACACACACAGTGACACACACACAGTGACACACACACACAGTGACACACACAGTGACACACACACAGTGACACACACACAGTGACACACACACACACAGTGACACACACACACAGTGACACACACAGTGACACACAATGACACACACACACAGTGACACACACACAGTGACACACACAGTGACACAGTGACACACACACAGTGACACACACACACACAGTGACACACAGACCCCCTCTGCTGTGCTGGTGTGCCGAGCCCTCACCACCGCCCCCCCACCACGGCGAGCCACGAGGCCACGTGGCCACCACGTGGCCACCACGTGGCCACCACGCACCTTGTACGGCGAGGGCTCAATCCTCTCACCGAAGAGCACCTGGCCCAAGTTCTCCGTGGGTCTCTGTTTGCTTTCGGGCGCCTTGCAGAAGTCGAACCTAGACACACCGACGGGAGCGGGGTGGGGGGTGGCAGTGTGACGAGACAAAGGTCCCCCGTGTAGCCTCTAGCGGGTTGTAGGGGCAAGTGCTGTGAGTAGCGAGCAGCACCTATAGACACACAGACAAAGGCCCCCCGTGTAGCCTCTAGCAGGCTGTAGGGGCAAGTGCTGAGTAGCGAGCAGCACCTATAGACACACAGACAAAGGTCCCCCGTGTAGCCTCTAACAGGCTGTAGGGGCAAGTGCTGTTAGCGAGCAGCACCTGTGAAGGCTACCGGCACTGTGGCACACGAGGGAGTGGGTGGCCAGCACCACGCCCAGATCTTTCAAGGATTTGTGAGCTCCTCACACAATCCAGCCTGGTTAAACCCAGGATGTATCGTGGGCAGGCCAGCCTAAATGTTTCTAACCGGCGAAGATGTTCCATTAGGGGGGTCCACGTTCTGCAAGCGTAGGGAAGGGAGGGAATGACCGTGGCCGAGAAGACTTGAAGCTTCGTGCGGAGCGACAGACCAGGTAGCTTCCACACAGCGTTACACAACCGATGAAAAGATATTGCCGCTCGACTGATTCGGAGTGAGACCTCTGCTGTTAAACTGGAGCCAGTTATAAGCACACTGCCCAGGTATGGGAAACTCTCCACTCTCTCCACAACTGCCCCATCACCGATTGGGAGTTGTGGGGGTGGAGTGTCCGATGGTACAAAATACCCAGGCAGGTGCTTAGTTTTGGTGGGGCTGATGGCAAGGCCCCATCTCTTAGTAGCACACTCCAGTCTCAGCAGCAGCGTCTCCAACTCCTCCTCTGAATGAGCAGCTATTACCAAATCATCGGCATACATAACGTGGTTGAGCAATAGGGAGCCATCCCTTGACCGCACCCGGGCATCGATCAGCCTCCCATTATATCTGTACCATATGGAGATTCCCCCGGTACAGCTATTGAAGGCTTCACGAACTACGTGGTCAAAATAGATGCTAAATAATGTGGGAGCCAGAGGACATCCCTGTCGCACCCCAAGGTGTACAGGGAATGGCTCTGACTCCCGGCCACGTAGTTTTACCCGGGCCCGCTCACCATCATGAAGGTCCTTGATGATCGTGAGCAGAGGGTCAGGGGCTCCGAAAGCACAGTCTCACACACAGTCTCACAATCACACAGTCTCAGACACACTCTCACTCACACACGCGGCTGACAGTGAGTGTTACCCGCCCCCACGTGTGTCACAGATTTCACAGGTGCTCGCTAGCAGCACTTGCCCCAACACTCTATTAAGGGGGTCTTTGTCTTTGTTGTGTGTGTGGGCACATGTGAGTGTGTGCGATTACGTGTGAGTACGTGCGTGTGGGTGCGTGTGAGTATGTGTGAGTTCGTGTGAGTACGTGTGAGTACGTGTGAGTGCGTGTGAGTGCGTGTGAGTGCGTGCGTACGTGTGAGTACGTGTGAGTACGTGAGTGAGTACGTGTGAGTACGTGCGTGAGTACGTGCGTGAGTACGTGCGTGAGTACGTGTGAGTGTGTGTGAGTACGTGTGAGTGTGTGTGAGTACGTGTGAGTACGTGTGAGTACGTGTGAGTACCTGTGTGTGAGTGCGTGTGAGTACGTGTGAGTACCTGTGTGAGTGAGTGTGTGAGTACCTGTGTGAGTGAGTACCTGTGTGTGTGTGTGAGTACGTGAGTGAGTACGTGTGTGTGTGAGTATGTGAGTACGTGAGTACCTCTGTGTGAGTGCGTGTGAGTGAGTACGTGTGAGTACGTGTGAGTACCTGTGTGTGAGTGCGTGTGAGTGCGTGTGAGTACGTGTGAGTACCTGTGTGTGAGGGCGTGTGAGTACGTGTGAGTACCTGTGTGTGAGTGCGTGTGAGTACGTGTGTGAGTGAGTGTGTGAGTGTGTGTGAGTACCTGTGAGTGAGTACCTGTGTGTGTGTGAGTACCTGTGTGTGTGTGAGTACGTAAGTGAGTACGTGAGTGAGTACGTGTGTGTGTGTGTGAGTATGTGAGTACCTCTGTGTGAGTGCGTGTGAGTACGTGTGAGTACCTGTGAGTGAGTACGTGAGTGTGTGTGAGTACCTGTGTGAGTGAGTGTGTGTGAGTACCTGTGAGTGAGTACGTGAGTACCTGTGAGTGAGTACCTGTGTGTGTGTGTGAGTACCTGTGAGTGAGTACCTGTGTGTGTGAGTACCTGCGAGTGTGTGTGAGTACCTGTGTGTGTGTGAGTACCTGTGAGTGAGTACCTGTGTGTGTGTGAGAGTACCTGTGTGTGTGTGCGAGTACCTGTGAGTGAGTACCTGTGTGTGAGTACCTGTGTGTGTGTGAGTACCTGTGAGTGAGTACCTGTGTGTGTGAGTACCTGTGTGTGTGTGAGTACCTGTGTGTGTGAGTACCTGTGAGTACCTGTGTGTGTGTGAGTACCTGTGTGTGTGTGTGAGTACCTGTGTGTGTGTGAGTACCTGTGTGTGTGTGAGTACCTGTGTGTGTGAGTACCTGTGAGTACCTGTGTATGTGTGAGTACCTGTGTGTGTGTGTGAGTACCTGTGTGTGTGTGAGTACCTGTGAGTGAGTACCCGTGTGTGTGAGTACCTGTGTGTGTGTGTGAGTACCGGTGTGTGTGTACCTGTGAGTACCTGTGAGTACCTGTGTGTGTGTGAGTACCTGTGTGTGTGAGTACCTGTGAGTACCTGTGTGTGTGTGAGTACCTGTGTGTGTGTGAGTACCTGTGAGTGAGTACCCGTGTGTGTGAGTACCTGTGTGTGTGTGTGAGTACCGGTGTGTGTGAGTACCTGTGAGTACCTGTGTGTGTGTGAGTACCTGTGAGTGAGTACCTGTGAGTACCTGTGAGTGTGTGTGAGTACCTGTGAGTACCTGTGAGTACCTGTGTGTGTGTGAGTACCTGTGAGTGAGTACCTGTGAGTACCGGTGTATGTGCGAGTACCTGTGAGTGTGTGTGTAAGTACCTGTGTGTGTGTGAGTACCTGTGTGTGAGTACCTGTGAGTGAGTACCTGTGAGTACCTGTGTATGTGTGAGTACCTGTGAGTACCTGTGAGTGTGTGTGAGTACCTGTGAGTACCTGTGCATGTGTGAGTACCTGTGTGTGTGAGTACCTGTGTGTGAGTACCTGTGTGTGTGTACCTGTGAGTACCTGTGTATGTGTGAGTACCTGTGAGTACCTGTGAGTACCTGTGTATGTGTGAGTACCTGTGTGTGTGTGAGTACCTGTGAGTACCTGTGTATGTGTGAGTACCTGTGAGTACCTGTGTATGTGTGAGTACCTGTGAGTACCTGTGAGTGTGTGTGTGAGTACTCACGCGTTGTATTCGTAGGGCAGCACCGACTCCACCGAGTCGAGGCGGTTCATGTAGAGCTCAATGGTGGACTGGCACACACACGGCACACGTCAGCAGCAGTCACACACGTGGTGGTGGTGATGGTGGTGGTGATGGTGGTGGTGGTGGTGATGGTGGTGATGGTGGTGATGGTGGTGGTGGTGATGGTGGTGATGGTGGTGGTGATGGTGGTGATGGTGGTGGTGGCGATGATTGGTGGTGGTAATGGTGGTGATGGTGGTGGTGGTGATGATGGTGATCATGGTGGTAATGGTGGTGATGGTGGTGGTGATGATGGTGATCATGGTGGTAATGGTGGTGATGGTGGTGGTGGTGATGGTGGTGATGGTGGTAATGGTGGTGATGGTGGTGGTGGTGATGGTGGTGATGGTGGTGGTGGCGATGATTGGTGGTGGTAATGGTGGTGATGGTGGTGGTGGTGATGATGGTGATCATGGTGGTAATGGTGGTGATGGTGGGGGGTGGTGGTGCTGCTGGTGGGGGGGTGGTGGTGGTGATGGTGGTGGTGATGGTGATGGCGGTGGTGATGGCGGTGATGGTGGTGGTAATGGTGGTGGTGGTGATGGTGGTGGCGATGGTGGTAGCGATGGTGGTGATGGTGGTGGTGATGGTGATGGTAGTGGTGATGATGATGGTGGTGATGGTGGTGATAGTGGTGGTGATGGTGGTGGTGATGGTGATGATGATGGTGGTGATGATGATGATGGTGGTGGTGATGATGGTGGTGGTGATGATTGGTGGTGGTAATGGTGGTGGTGATGGCGGTGATGATGGTGATGATTGGTGGTGGTAATGGTGATGGTGGTGATGATTGGTGGTGGTGATGGTGGTGATGATTGGTGGTGGTGATGGTGGTGATGATGGTGATGATTGGTGGTGGTAATGGTGGTGATGATTGGTTTTGATAGTGGTGGTGATGATGGTGATTGGTGGTGATAGTGGTGGTGATGATTGGTATTGATAGTGGTGGTGATGGTGATGATGGTGATTGGTGGTGATAGTGGTGGTGATGATGGTGGTGATGGTGGTGGTGGTGATGATAGTGGTGGTGGTGATGATGGTGGTGGTGGTGGTGATGGTGGTGGTGATGGTGATGATGGTGGTGATGGTGATGATGGTGGTGATGGTGGTGGTGATGATAGTGGTGGTGGTGATGATAGTGGTGGTGGTGATGATAGTGGTGGTGGTGATGATAGTGGTGGTGGTGGTGGTTATGAAGAGATTTTATTTTATTTCACCTTCATCTAACCAGGTTGCGAGGGCGACGATGATGATGGTGGTGGTGATAAAATGATGATGGTGAAAGAGATGATATTGATGGTGGTGGTAACAATGATGAAATAGTGATAGACGACATAGATGATGGTGATTATAGAGATGATGATACGTAGGCTTGGGCGACCAGTACCATTCATCATAAAGGTTTGTGTGTTAGATCGCGTTCACGATAAATGTGTCACAACCCTCCACCACCCGACACTGCCAATCAGTAAACAAAGTGTCACGTTGACAAAAGACAAAATAGTTCACGACTTTAGCCCACCGGTGTGTGTGTTGACTCCACCACACGTGACTCCACCACACGTGACTCCACAACACGTGACTCCACCTCACAAGCTCCACCACACGAGTTCCACCAGTGGAGCTCCACCACACGACTCCACCAGTGGAGCTCCACCACACGACTCCACCAGTGGAGCTCCACCACACGACTCCACCACACGACTCCACCACACGAGCTCCACCACACGACTCCACCAGTGGAGCTCCACCACACGACTCCACCAGTGGAGCTCCACCACACGACTCCACCAGTGGAGCTCCACCACACGACTCCACCACACGACTCCACCACACGAGCTCCACCACACGACTCCACCAGTGGAGCTCCACCACACGACTACACCACACGACCTCCACCACGCGACTCCACCACACGACCTCCACCACACGACCTCCACAACACGACTCCACCACACGAGCTCCACCACACGACTCCACCACACGAGCTCCACAACACACGGACTCCACCACGCGACTCCACCTCACGAGCTCCACAACACGCGACTCCACCAGTGGAGCTCCACCACACGATTCCACCACACGAGCTCCACCACACGACTCCACCTCACGAGCTCCACCACACGAGCTCCACCACACGCGACTCCACCTCACGACTCCACCAGTGGAGCTCCACCACACGAGCTCCACCACACGCGACTCCACCTCACGAGCTCCACCACACGACTCCACCAGTGGAGCTCCACCACGCGACTCCACCACACTGTATTTGGCCTACTCTGCCGCGTTAGACTCCGAAATGGGAGAAAAAACGACGGGAGCGCGCGGCGTTATAACGTCAAACAATAACAACAACAATAATAACTTGGTTCTTTCGGTAAAGTCACCACCACGTAGAATGAGAATAAAACAATTAAATCCTCACGACGTTTCGGCCACAACACAAGTAGCCGTCCTCAGGTGAAGAAACAGCGCTTGACTGTCAGGACGTCCTGACAGTCTTCACCTGAGGACGGCTACTTGTGTTGTGGCCGAAACGTCGTGAGAATTTAATTGTTTTATTTTATTGTTTTATTCTCATTCTACGTGGTGGTGACTTTACCGAAAGAACCAAAGAAGATGAATCCTTGCAGTCACGAAAGCTTTAAATTGAAAAATAACAATAACAACAATAATAACAATAACCATAACAACAATAACAACAATAATAACAATAATAACAACAATAACAATAATAACAATAATAATAACGACAGAAGGAACACGGGAAGAAAAAAAAGACCGAAGGGAGTTTAGGCCGAAGCCTCGGCGTGGGCCTGGCGGGCCTACCAGACAGTTGAGGTGCTCCTCGGCCTTCTCGCAGAAGCTGACGGGGGCGAGACCCGGGAGGTAGAAAGCCTGGCTCAGCGCTAGCACGCACAGCAGCGTAGCTGTAGCTGTAGCAGCAGCAGCAGCAGCAGCCATAGTGCGAGGGTGTTGTTAGCTGTTTGTGTGAAGCGCCGTGTCCTCTCTCTCAATGTTTATATTCGCCGTGAAGTTTGTGGTGGTGGTGGTGGAGGGGGGGGAAGTGGATCTCGAAGCGCCCAACACGCCGGTGACGTCGCCTCGGTGACGAGGGCGAGCTACGTGGTGACGTCAGCGCGCACGCTCAGTGGCTTGACTCTCGGCGGCTGGGTTTGCGTGAAGACGTCACCACGCAAACTTCCCCCTCTGTTTGGGTTGCGAGGTGATGTCACCACGCAGAATCCGGTTTAGAATCGCAGTTGCTGGGTTTGCGTGGTGACGTCACCACGCAGACTCAACTTCGTCTTACGTTGCGCGGTGATGTCACCACGCAGACTTTGGTTGAGAATCGCGGTGGCTGGGTTTGCGTGAACACGTCACCACGCAGACTTCACCCCCCCCGTTTGGTTTCAGCGGTGACGTCACCACGCAGCCTTCCCCGCCCGTTTGGGTTCCGCGGTGACGTCACCACGCAGACTCTCTTTTGAGTTCGCGACAGCTGAGTTGCGTGATGACGTCACGGCGTAGATTCCGGTTGGATTCCTGAAGCTGAGTTGCGTGATGACGTCACGACGCATATAACGGTTGGACTCGCTCCAGCTGAGTTGCGTAATGACGTCACGACGTAGATTCCGGTTGGACTCGCAAACAGCTGAGTTGCGTGATGACGCCACGACGTAAATTCCGATTGGACTCGCGACAGCTGAGTTGCGTGGTGACGTCACGACGTAGATTCCGGTTGGACTCGCGAACAGCTGAGTTGCGTGATGACGTCACGACGTAGATTCCGGTTGGACTCGCGAACAGCTGAGTTGCGTGATGATGTCACGACGTAGATTCCGGTTGGACTCGCGAACAGCTGAGTTGCGTGATGACGTCACGACGTAGATTCCGGTTGGACTCGCGAACAGCTGAGTTGCGTGATGATGTCACGACGTAGATTCCGGTTGGACTCGCTAACAGTTGAGTTGCGTGATGACGTCACGACGTAGATTCCGGTTGGACTCGCTAACATCTGAGTTGCGTGATGACGTCACGACGTAGATTCCGATTAAACTCGCGACAGCTAAGTTGCGTGATGACGTCACGACGTAGATTCCGGTTGGACTCGCGAACAGCTGAGTTGCGTGATGACGTCACTACGTAGATTCCGGTTAGACTCGCTGAGTTGCGTGATGACGTCACGACGTAGATTCCGGTTGGGCTCCCTAACAGTCAAGTTGCGTGATGACGTCACAACGTAGATTCCGGTTGGACTCGCTAACAGCTGAGTTGCGTGATGACGTCACGACGTAGATTCCGGTTAGACTCGCTGAGTTGCGTGATGACGTCACGGCGTAGATTCCGGTCAGACTCGCTGAGTTGCGTGATGACGTCACGGCGTAGATTCCGGTCAGACTCGCTGAGTTGCGTGATGACGTCACGACGTAGATTCCGGTCAGACTCGCTGAGTTGCGTGATTAATTTTTCGATTTAAAGCTCCCGTGACTGCAGGGATTCATATTCTTGGTTCATATTCTTGGTTCTTTCGGTCACGTAGAAGGGAAATAACAACATAATAAAACATAATAAAATTCTCACGACGTTTCGGCCACAACGCAAGCAGCCGTCCTCAGGTGAAGAACAGAGAGAGCTTCTCCGTGACTTTACCGAAATAACCAAACATTTGCGTGATGACGTCACGACGTGGATTCAGTTTCAAAGGCAATGCCATTAACATCATCATCATTATTATTATCAGGACCACGTGCGTTTGCATGTGTAGTGTTTATAATGACGAATAAACCTCTTATGAGGCACACTCTGTTCATTGTAATACTTCTGTTACACAGTCCTTAACGCACGGAGGGGTATACTGTTCCTTCACCTGATACCCTAAGGAGGTACCGCCTCCAGACTTAGCGTGACCTACACAGCTCTCTTGATACCTAAGGAGGTACTTAGCGTGACCTACACACAGCTCTCTTGATACCTAAGGAGGTACTTAGCGTGACCTACACACAGTTCTCTTGATACCTAAGGAGGTACTTAGCGTGACCTACACACAGGTCTGTTGATACCTAAGGAGGTACTTAGTGTGACCTACACACAGTTCTCTTGATACCTAAGGAGGTACTTAGCGTGACCTACACACAGGTCTCTTGATACCTAAGGAGGTACTTAGCGTGACCTACACACAGTTCTCTTGATACCTAAGGAGGTACTTAGCGTGACCTACACACAGGTCTGTTGATACCTAAGGAGGTACTTAGTGTGACCTACACACAGGTCTCTTGATACCTAAGGAGGTACTTAGCGTGACCTACACACAGGTCTCTAGATACCTAAGGAGGTACTTAGTGTGACCTACACACAGGTCTCTTGATACCTAAGGAGGTACTTAGCGTGACCTACACACAGGTCTCATGATACCTAAGGAGGTACTTAGCGTGACCTACACACAGGTCTCTTGATACCTAAGGAGGTACTTAGCGTGACCTACACACAGGTCAACTTGATACCTAAGGAGGGACTTAGCGTGACCTACACACAGGTCAACTTGATACCTAAGGAGGTACTTAGCGTGACCTACACACAGGTCAACTTGATACCTAAGGAGGGACTTAGCGTGACCTACACACAGGTCTCTTGATACCTAAGGAGGTACTTAGCGTGACCTACACACAGGTCTCTTGATACCTAAGGAGGTACTTAGCGTGACCTACACACAGGTCTCGTGATACCTAAGGAGGTACTTAGCGTGACCTACACACAGCTCTCTTGATACCTAAGGAGGTACTTAGCGTGACCTACACACAGGTCTCTTGATACCTAAGGAGGTACTTAGTGTGACCTACACACAGGTCTCTAGATACCTAAGGAGGTACTTAGCGTGACCTACACACAGGTCACCTTGATACCCTAAGGAGGTACTTAGTGTGACCTACATACAGGTCTCTTGATACCTAAGGAGGTACTTAGTGTGACCTACACACAGCTCTCTTGATACCTAAGGAGGTACTTAGTGTGACCTACACACAGCTCTCTTGATACCTAAGGAGGTACTTAGTGTGACCTACACACAGGTCAACTTGATACCTAAGGAGGTACTTAGTGTGACCTACACACAGGTCTCTTGATACCTAAGGAGGTACTTAGTGTGACCTACACACAGCTCTCTTGATACCTAAGGAGGTACTTAGTGTGACCTACACACAGGTCTCTTGATACCTAAGGAGGTACTTAGCGTGACCTACACACAGGTCTCTTGATACCTAAGGAGGTACTTAGCGTGACCTACACACAGGTCTCTTGATACCTAAGGAGGTACTTAGTGTGACCTACAAACAGCTCTCTTGATACCTAAGGAGGTACCGCCTCCTATCTTGGCGAGACTTACTTACACGTCTACCGCTATCCCAGAGTCCTCCGGCTGGGACCTAGGGGAGGCTATCTGACCCACCGCTGGCCCGGCGGGTCCTGACCACTGGGTATGCCGAGCCTTAGCCCTCAGAAGGGCTGGGAGGCCGGGTCCAGGGTCCTGGCTATCTTCAGCCCGGGCTTCGGTCTTGGTGTAGGGAGACAACTCCCCGCCATGCTCTGCGCGGTCACCCTTCTTATACTCATTTGTGGCCAGGTCTAACCAATCCCACACTCACACGTGGTACTGTCTGATTGGTTCTTACCAAACTGTGGCGACGGTCCACTTCACCTCGTCTGACCCCACCCGTTATGTACACAGAGGTAACGCTGCACTGCCCCTTTGATACCCGGTGGCAATGCAGGTTACCGAACAGTGAGTAGTTAACGCCTCCACACATATTCTTGGTTCTATCGGTAAAGTCACATAGAAGGGAAACAATAAAAATAATAAAAATATAAAACAATGAATTATTATTATTATTTTTATCGTTTCCCTTCTACGTGGTGGTGACTTTACCCAATAGAACCAAGAATATGAATCCCTGCAGTCACGAAATACTTTAAATCAAAACCTCTACACACGTTTCACCACAAACAGCGAGTGTGCGGTCAACGCAGACACTTGATGATGCCTTACAATGGGTGTCTCTATTGAGGTGTTTGAACATCTTGGACCAAGGCCGTAGCCGTGGAATCAATATTGGTGGGGACCAAAATCTCCCAGTGGGTCTGGGGGTCCCTACCCAGACATTTGAAAACGAATTTCCTTTCTAGATTTGAAGCTTTCGTGACTGCAAGGATCCATACTCTTTGGTCCTATTCGGTAAAGTCACCACGTAGTAGGTAAAAAATAAAACAACAAAAATCACGACGTTTCGGCCACAACACAAGCGGCCTTCATCAGGTGAAGGGACCAGACTGTCTCTAAGACTGTGCTGGAGTCAACACAGCCAAGCTCAGACCACGGCCTTTAAGCTGTGTGAGAGGGATTAAGGTGCCTTGACAAAGGAATTAGCATAAAAAATTAGCATTTAATTGGCGGACTTAGCATGATGAAAGGTGTAGAGAGGGTGAACATGCGGTGCACATGCGAATTTCCTGCCATTTCCTGCGTAAAGATATTTTTTAAAAAATTCACGAACACATGGGGAAGGACGTTTTATTTTATTTGTTACAATAATGTCTAATAGTGTTATTGTATTACATTGCTGTGTTTTTACTTTTTTACCATTTCTTGTACCGTTGTATGTAATGTTTGAGATTAGGGATTTATAAAGTACAACCATAACCACAATCATATAAACTTAAATGTAAGTGCTGATTTATACGAAGACAAGTCCAGATATTGTGGCCAAGGTTTAGCAAATTGTTGTTTTTATTTACATAACATAGCAATTTTTTTATTACTTTTTTATATTTTTATAGCAATATATTGGGAGGGGGGTACATTTTGTGCCATACTTATTATAATTACGGCCTTGTCTTAAACACAACTGCTATTTTATTGCCAGAGAAAGAGTACAAAGCTTTTCTTATATTCTAATACAGCCCCAGCCGGTTAAATATCCAATCAGATCATTTAGACTGCGACAGGAGAGAATCAGATGAGCTATGAAGCTCTTTGCCACAGACGTCCAGGGAGGGGGTACGGGGTCACAATGCTACAACAACAAACAGTGACATACACACACCATGATAATGCAACGTACAGGATTGCTAAAGAAATGACCCAGACATAAACACTTACA